CTCTCATTCGCTCACTCTTACACACACTGACATTCACTTACTCTCACACACACTCTCTCATTCACTCACTCTCACACACACACTGACATTCAATCACTCTCACACACACTCTTATTCGTTCGCTCACTCTCACACACACTCTCATTCGCTCACTCTCACACACACACTCTCTCATTCGCTCACTCTCACACACACTCTCATTCGCTCACTCTCACACACACTCTCATTCGCTCACTCTCACACACACTCTCATTCGCTCACTCTCACACACACTCTCATTCGCTCACTCTCACACACACTCTCATTCGCTCACTCTCACACACACTCTCATTCGCTCACTCTCACACACACTCTCATTCGCTCACTCTCACACACACTCTCATTCGCTCACTCTCACACACACTCTCATTCGCTCACTCTCACACACACACTCTCTCATTCACTCACTCTCACACACACACTGACATTCAATCACTCTCACACACACTCTTATTCGTTCACTCTCACACACACACTCTCTCATTCGCTCACTCTCACACACACACTCTCTCATTCACTCACTCTCACACACACACTCTCATTCGCTCACTCTCACACACACACTCTCATTCGCTCACTCTCTCACACACTCTCTCTTTCGCTCACTCTCAGAGCTTTCAGACGTGAAGAGCAGAAAGAGGGATGGGATCTGTTGTCACGGTCTCACACCTGCGCTTGCGTCTGGAGGCATCAGAGCACTCTCTGAATCTGATTTCTATAGTTTGTGGGAGCAGCATTTTCCTGTGATTCTGTTTCTGCTGGAGGTTTTGATGGTTGTTTTTGCTGTGATGGACGCAGGGCTCCTCACATGGCTGAAGGGGGTGTGTGTGTGTGTGAGTGTGTGCATACGGCCCGTGGGTGTCTGTGTGGGTGTCTGTGTGGGCGACTGTGTAGGCGTCATGTGAACCTGACTCACGGTTCAGTCTGGTGTAGAGGCAAAACAACACAATAAATACAAAGTACACAATCGCTGGAGCATCGCTCTGATTGAACCAGAAAAACAACTAAACAAATTTATTTTTAGAGTGACACAAATATAGTAATCATGCTAACCACAAAAATATGAGCAAAAATTAAATTAATACAAATAAAATAAAAAATAAAAGTATGACTGAAATTAACATTAGTGTGAAAAGAACGAAGAAGAAGAGAAGACGTCCTTTTTTTTAGCTAATATCATTCCTATTAGTAGCAGATGTGCTAGCGATATAATGTTTAATTAACATTTGGTATAATTGATTTATACTGATATTAATGAATTAAATGCTTAATGTTTTTCAATATGACCCTATTTCATGTTTTTTGCAGGGTGTGACTGTAGACTGTAGCGTTGGGTGAATTCGAGTGTGTTTGAGTGAGGAATTATACAGGATTGTGTGGGTGTTCGCTGGCATGAAGCCCATCGCTGCCTCGCTGTAGAGAATGAGCTGGCGATGCTCTCGCTTTATTCATCCCAACAAACTACTGACTCGCAGAGAAGAGGAGAAACAGTGTTCAGAATTCACTTCGCTGACACGAGCCGTGGGTTCGGCCAGTTCACATCCCTCACATCGACCAGAGACCGAATCTGTTCCTTTCTCATTGCAGGAGAAGCAGTTCAGTCTGTGAATCTGGCCTTTCAGAGGCTCAGAGCCCGTTTCCACTGCAATTATAGCTCAGATGTGGCACGCTGTGCTGAATGGGAGGTTTGTCTTCCGCTGGGACTCGTGCCTTTGTCTCGCCGTGGCCTTGATTGGCAGGAAGCTTCAGGTCTCGCTCAAAGATTACTGCAGAAACCATGGCAACCCCGAGTTGTGTAACTGATAAAGTGCAGCTCAGAAGGACAAGCGCTGGTCCCATGAGCGCTGATGATGAACCTGTCCAAACCCACAGGCAAAAGACTTGTGCTGGGCTTCCTTCAGAGCGATGTGGCTGTCCATCACCATCACCGATCCTAAAAGAAAGCTAATGAGCTCATGAGCGTAAATGCTGGAAATGTATCATGTGCGGTCATAGAGCTAATCATGGAACGGGTCAGAAAAGAGCGGCTCGGGAAGTTTCCCTGCCGTTGCGTTGTCGCCAGGCAACAGAGCAGTGTTAGCATGTTGCCGAGGCTGTCGTCGGCGCGGGCAGATCCCTGCAAACACGCACAATTGCTTTTGTGCTTCGTTCTGCTGATACAAACGTGTTTACGGAGATTCCCTGTTATGTTTCTAAATGTCATATCTGGTGACGGCCCAAATTCAGCATGAAACTGATCAGATGCTGACGGTCACCCTTTTTCCTGTCAGCTATAAGTATAACCACTCTGGAGCTAGTGTCTGTATCAGTGTTAGTTTGGACTAAAATGCCATTTAGTTTTAGTCTAGTTTTAGCCGACTAAACATCCTACAGTAAATTTAGTCGGCTAAAATCTAATGGGTTTAGTTACAGTGCATTTATTAAGCATTTCTCTAAAACGTCCAAACTCATTATATAGGTTTGATATTAAGGTTTTATCATGATAGACACAGATTTAACTGCGGTGACACACAACATGCCTTTATGTTAAGATTAAATAAAACCACTTCTCATAAAGAACAAGAACATGGTCTTCTTTTTAATGAAATATCAATGGTTATATCAGCTAATTATGCATTCTTTATAGCAACTTGTTTACCATATTCTTCATTCTTTCAAGCAGACATATTTATTTCTATAAATAAATTTAGATGAATCTTTAGGGCTACTGAAGTTTTTCAGGTAAGAGTAGTGAGTGATTTTCTTTCTTTCTGTTGTTGCTTGATTAACATCAATGACTCGGACAATAGCAACTAAATTAGGCTGCTGTCCCTTTAAAACCGAATGCACAGCTGCAATGCACTGAGACACGTTCTCCCTGCTGTTTACCTTCACTAAAGACGTAATCAACTGTGTTTACATGAATACTTGTCAAAAGGACAATTCGACATCATTTTGTGTGTACTTCTCCGTTCATGCGATGCTAAAGAGTACTCGCGCGCTGTGAGAGGCGCTTTCTGTGTGTGTGCTTCAGTGTCTGCGCTCAGATAACCGGACCGACCTGAGTTCTCTCTTGCCTAGTCAGATTTATCCATATGTCTGCTCTTCTCTTACTCCCACATATTGACATTTTTAAACGTTTTATGCGACGCGCAGCAAGTGTATGTTAGCTTATGTCCAGAGGCGGACAAAGTACTGAACTCCATTACAAATCACTCTCGCGGTACTTTGATGTCACACACAGAACAGTCTGTGCAGTGCTGCTTCAGTCAAACACCTATTGTGTTTTATTAGGAGACGCACAACAGTTCTTCTGTGGCTTTATAGCTAATATTTTCACGCATGCAATTGAGCAAAATCAGACAATATTGTGTCTAATATAAACCACAATATTAACTTCTTATTATTGAATTGTTGTAAATAAATATCACATTTGCAACTGGTCAGTGTTCAAAAAATGCTGGGAAATCACTTCATGTAGCCCCACAAGAGTGATTACTGATAAACTGTCTGAAAAAAAGAGAGTCATGTTTCAGAGAAGAAAAAAATCACCCACTGACTTTCAAAGCTGCTACAGAGTAACGACTTTCTACTTCGAGGACCTTGATAGAAATGTAGTGGAGTGAAAAGTACAATATTTGTCTTTCAAATGTAGTGAAATTAAAGTCATAAGTTTCCAGAAAAAATAATACTCAAGTAAAGTACAGACACTCAAAAAGTATACTTAAGTGTACTTACTGTCTGCCTCTGCTTATGTCCCGCCGGTTCATATGTACGCATCTAACCTCCGAACCACGCAGCAGATTCCTTCTGAATGAATCTCTTCCCAAATCGTCCCTCCCTAACATTTTCGTCTCGTTTATTTCGTTGATGAAAATGTCAATAGATTTACGTCATAGCTTTTGTCATTCAAAAAGAGTTTTAGTTCGTTATCGTCTCGTTGTCGTCGGTGAAACAAATGTCGTTGACGAAAATTATGACGGAAATTATTCGTCAGCTAAATTAACACTGGTCTGTATGACTTGCCTATTGCTGTAAATTCATCACTGATAGTAAAATACCTCTTCTCGTGCATTTTCACCTCAAGGTTACTTAATTCAGTGAAGCAGTGTGCATCTATGTGGGGCTGCGGAGCGTCATGCAGCGCCGGAGCGTGTGGGCGAGTGTGTGGGCCGCCGGTGGGTGCTGAGTGGTTTGTGAGAAGTGACGGCTGACCGCAACAAAGGCCGCAGTGTCAGGCCTTGGCACAATTCTTTCACGTTCTTTTAAGTGAATGCATCTTGAAGTCACAGTGTTGGTGACCTTCCCTTGTACTACAGCAGCTGCTTCTGTGTGTGTGTGTGTCTCCTTTATCCTCCACCGGTCTACCGCACCGCACACCACCTCACAGCCGCTGATGGTGGATCTATCTTTTTTTATTCGGTATCTCTCTCTCTTTACTCTAACTCACTCAAAAGCTTCCATAAGTGTGGAGAGATCAGTGTGTTGAAGAGGGTTGAGAATATCAGCGTTGTCATTTGAATATTCTGGCGAGATCCGAGTGCTGATGAATAGTCATGAGTCGACGCCTCTGCAAACTGTCCCTGCTGCTGTCGGAAAGAGAGACGCCATCATCGCAATCGCAGAGCCACTTTAGGATACACAAAAACTTGATGTTTAATGTCTTGAAAATAGTTCAGAACGATGATTTGTCAGTGTTATAAAAACAGACCCCAGAGTCCGTACTGTTGACTGAGTTCACGTTCAGTTCCATATAGTGGTGTCTCTGGCAGCATGTCCTTGTCAAAGCATTGTGCGTTTGCCGTTCCTTCACTTCTTATTTTTTTTACCTTTATTTATAAAGCACTTTATACAATACAGATTGTTTCAAAGCAGCTTTACAGTGTTAAACAGGAAAAACGTGTGCTAATAATGCAAGAGGACGATAGAAAACAGTCAGTTTATCAGTTAAAGTCAGTTCATTGTTGATTCAGTGATATCATCATCCAGGTCAGTTCAGTTTTTTCCAGCAGTGTCTGTGCAGTCGTCAACATGTTGCCAGAAATTAAGTGTCCCCAACTAAGCAAGCCAGAGGCGACAGTGGCAAGGAACCAAAACTCAATCGTTGACAGAAATGGAGAAAAAACCTTGGGAGAAACCAGGCTCAGTCTTGGGGCCAGTTCTCCTCTGGCCAGACGAAACCAGCATGGCGTGGTTTAATTCCAGACTGCAACACAAGTCAGATTGAGCAGAGGACTCGTCTGGTTCTCGTAGTCTCGTGCCGATGGTCGTCTAGGGCTCATCGAGTTGACATGGTCTCCGCTGACATTCAGGGCTGTAGAGGTCCTCTCTAGGTGCTGATCCACCATCTGGTCTGGATGCAGACTGGATCTGGTGGCTACGGCGACCTCGGAATAAGAATGAAAGAGACTAATATTAGTGTAGATGCCATTCTTCTTACGATGTAGCAAGTACATCGGGTGTTATGGGAAGTGTTCCCGGTTCCGGTTGACCTAATTAATGCAGGGAACCAGTGCAGTGTTGACAGAACCGGGCTAATAAGGTCATACTTCCTGGTTCTAGTAAGAACTCTAGCTGCTGCATTTTGGACCAGCTGGAGTTTGTTTATTAAGCGCGCAGAGCAACCACCCAATAAAGCATTACAATAATCTAACCTTGAGGTCATGAACGCATGGATTAACATTTCTGCATTTGACATTGAGAGCATAGGTCGTAATTTAGATATATTTTTAAGATGGAAAAATGCAGTTTTACAATGCTAAATGCTAGAGCGTTAATGCTAGAAAAATGAATTTCAAAGGAAAGGTTGCTATCAAATAGCACACCTAGGTTCCTAACTGATGATGTATTGACAGCACTGCCATCAAGTGTTATACAGTTTTGTTCCGATAATTAACACCTGATTTTTCAGAATTTAGCAGTAGGAAATTACTAGTCATCCAGTTTTTTTATATCAGCTATGCATTCCGTTAGTTTTGTGAATTTGTATGTTTCATCAGGCCACGAAGAAATATAGAGCTGAGTATCATCAGCATAACAGTGAAAGCTAACACCGTGTTTCCTGATGATATCTCCCAAGGGTAACATGTAAAGCATGAAAGTAACGGTCCTAGTACTGAGCCTTGAGGTACTCCATACTGCACTTATGATCGATATGATACCTCTTCATTCACTGCTACGAATTGATGGCGGTCAGATAAGTAAGATTTGGACAATGGCAATGCAATTCCACTAATCCCAACATAATTTTGTAGTTTACTAAAATGAATGTTGTGGTCAATAGTGTTGAACACAGCGCTAAGATCCAGTAGCACTAATAGAGACATACAACCACGATCAGATGATAAGAACAGGTAATT